CAAAGAAGTGATATAAAGAGATGATTAATCCCCATTCACTTGTACAGATTAAACAACAATGTCTGTTGGCTTGGTATAGTTTAAATAATTAAAAGCATCTTGTGTTGGGAGTGGAGAATTGGGACTTTGCATGCCTGGAGTGTGGAAAAACCTTTCTAACCTTTAGTGTTAGTTTAAATGTCCCACTCTGTAACTCTTAGTTTATCCCTAGAAAATAACTAGACATGTGCCTAGGGATGCATGCAGCCCTGTTTACACTGGTAAAAGCAAACAAAACCCTAATATCCAACCAAGTAATCAAGTAAAATGGAATGCTATGCAGTCAGGGAATGTGTCCCAATTATATTGTTAATTGAAAAAGAAAGGTTAGAGGGGCACCTTGGGGGCTCAGCCAGTTAAGCGTCCAACTCTTGGTTTTGGCTCAGGTCTAATCTCATGGTCACAGAGTTCAAGCCCTACATTGGGCTCTGTGCAGACAGCTTGGAGCCTGCTTGGGATTCTCTCTCTCCCTTTCTCTCTGCCCCTCCCCACTTCTCTCAAAATAAACATTAAAAAAAAAGAAAAGAAAAAGGTAGGTTAGAGAATAGAACATATAATCATTTTGCTATATTGGCCTATATATACCCTTGTGGTATTAGTGTGTGTATGTCTTTCTGTCTGTGTGAACACATATGTATATATATGTGTGTGTATATATATTTCTAAGTATATAGAAAAAAGTTTGATAAGATATATCTCAAACTGATAATATTGATTATCTCAGGGACTTTCTTTACCATATTTCTGTAGATCTGAATTATGTATAATATTCATAGATCACTCTAAAAGTCAGAGAAAATAAGAATGAAAATATGAATTTAGAAAATTAAATATGTTACGGGAGGTATTTTTAAAGTTTTTATATAATGGATGTGTCTGTTTAGGGGAAGGCTTATTTGTGGGGGAGGGTGTCGAGTGCTGGCCTCTTTGCTGTGTGGGTGTTGGTAGCTAGTATTTCAAATACTGTGATCATGTACTTGTATTTAACTTTTCACCGATGTAATACTACTTGCTTATTCTTGGCAGGAGGTAGTTATAGTGTAATGAAAAGCTATCGTTCTCTGTGTTTGATAGACCAAACACCATCTCTACTACTCTCCTGCTCTGTGATATTCAGCAAATTAATCACACTGACTTTTAGTTTCTCAGCTGTGGAATGGAAATAATAATGGTAATACCGAGCTTGCATGCTTGTTCTGAGGGTTAAATGAGACCTGGTCCATAGAGTTCCTGGAATATGATAAGGAGTAGCCATTATGATATGGCAATATAGTATAGTTTTTAGAATTCCTCCTATTTAAGAGCAGGCATCCAGTCTGTGGGAAGAAAATTTCTGAAAGTTGTGGAAAAACAGTTAAACCCCAAATAAGTTCTGTTTTATGTCCTTGGACCCCCTTTACAGAAAGGCAGTTTCTTTTTATTCTCTCAGATCTCATTGACTGAAGGGTAGGCTCACTCAACATACTTTGTGAAACCACTCGTGTCTTTGGCTTTTTTCTGCAGAAGTGAAATTGGAAGGAAAAGCTTTACTGAAAAGAGGTGGGGGGGAATGGGGGGTTAGGGAGCAACTGCCAGGTTTACTTGCATGCTCTCCCCCCGCCCCTGCCAATTCAGGATTGGCTTGTTTGGTACAAATTGGTTGCCTCAAGCAACACGTTATTAGTCTGAGCCAGAATGTATCCCGGGAGACTTAACTGTTTTCCCTTTGCCAAGTAATTGTTGTTTTCCTGCAGAGGATGCTGGGATTGTAGGGGCATTTTCTACTTTGGCATATTTCAGTCTAATTCTCCCCCTTTCCACTGAGGGTTTGCTACTTGCAAGGCACTGTGCCTATTCATTGCATTTAAAAAATCAACCAGATGTGAACTGTTAATGTTTATTTTCAACTCCTGGATTTTGTTTTCCTCCTTCCGTAAACACCCCACCCAGTACTGGTGTCTAAGGAAAGAAGATGCTATTCCTGGTGAAAATATTCACTGTCCCTCTCTCTGATATAGCCCCCCCCCCCCCCCCCCCGCAGAATGATACTATAACCCTGCCCTGTTGACATCAGGCTTGGCCGTGAAATGCAGGTGGATGTGATACTTCAGGCACAGAGTTCAATGTGTTTCCACCACCATTCTTTTCCCTTTGTCAGAGTCCCCCACATGCCACACTCAGACAGTCCCTGGCTTGGACCCTGTTTTGGTGCTCCTCTGGCTTCACTTGTCCTCAGTTCCCATTTTCCAGAGTATAGTCCCTGTGCCCAGGACTCCAGAACCCTCTTCCTAGACAGCCACAGGCCTGCTTCCCAGCTTGTCCTGGACCTGTGCACCCAGGTGCAGGCCACGCTGCTGGGTTGTGCAGCCCAGGCTTACAGGGCCTGGGAACAGAGCTTGAGGGTGGGGCCAGGGGAGCCTTCCCAGTGCAGGCTGGGGGGGTGGTGGCTGGGGAGGAGGAGAAGGAAGGGGGCACGCCTCAGGCAGGGCCGCTTGCTCCCGCACAGGGATGTTTCTGCGCGGAACCCCAAGGGGTCCAACAAGCTGCCATTCCATCTTGGCCTTCTGGTTTGTTGTGAACAAATCTTCATCGAGGAAGATAGGATATACTTCATTTAACAGTTTCTAGCTTGGTCTGTACTGTTAAATACTGAGACGTCTGTTAGCCAGCATCTGAATCCTTAGGGCAGTGCCCACGAGTGCTTGGGGGTGAGTCTGCTCTTCTAGACAGGGGTGCTCTTCTGGCCTGGGCCTTGGAATGATGTGCGACAGAGCCGAGGTGGATTCTTGATAGATGTAATCGGAGAGATAAATCTTATAATTGTAAGCCACTGAGATTCTGGGGTTATCTGTTAACTGTGGCATCATTTAGATTAAGGTCATTAATTCCAAAAGGAAGAAGTGACGTTCGTTTAAGGTGTCTGACTTTACGAACTTCAAATATGTTATCGGCCCAATTTTTTGTGGTTATATGAGCAGTAGCACTACCCAGGAGAGTCTGAAACAAACCCCAGGAGTTGACTGGAGGTCTTGAGTGGGCTCACATAGGCCCCATACTGCTGTGATCGCTCCATTGCTACTGCTGAATCGTTAGCATTCAGTGAAATTTCAGGCCCTTTTGCCAGTAGTGATGGTTTCAGTTATCAATACATCTGTCTTGCGTCACTTCCCTTGTGACCTTCAGAAATAAATTCAGGGTCAGACCTTGGGAAAAAACTCATAAAATGAGAAAATATGAATGAAGCCCCTGTCTTCATTCATAGATAGAGTGCCTGGGCGGCTCACTCGGTTAAGTGTCTGACTCTTGGTTTTGGCGCAAGTCATGTTCTGGCACTTTGGTGGGATCAAGCCTCATGTCGGGCTCTGTGCTGACAGTGCAGAGCCTGCTTGGGATTCTCTCTCTTCCTCTCTCTCTCTGCCCCTTCCCCACTTGCACTGTCTCTCTCTCTCTCTCTCAAAATAAACAGAAACTTGGAAAAAAATTTCTTAATAAAAAAGAATACTGAATAGTATTTTCATTTTTTAAAAACGTATCCATTATCTATGAATTTACATTTGAATGTATCCTCCCACGTATCTCCCATGTTGTACCAGAAAGCATGAGCCCTGTAAATGGTCTTAAGATTCTGACTTCTCAGATCATATCAAGTATGAGGCACTTACTAGAGCTAAGAGTAAGGTCTTTTTAACTTGGAACAAAGAAAAGTCACCTGGACCTCACTGGAAGTAAAACCATGAACTAGGCCTCAGGAAATCAAATAGAGATATTCTTAATAGCAGTTATGATAATTGTAGGTGAGGGATACACTTCAAAAAGCTTTCACATACATAATTTTATTTATTCTTTATTACAACCTGTGAGATAAGTAGAAAAATCTTCTCCCTTTTCACAGAGGAGAAAACTAAGGCCTATTAAGTTTCAATAGTTTGCTCTCTGTTCTTCTACCAATATTAATGTTGGTATTAGGAATATTAATACACCAATTTATTAATATGTATTATATAACACATTATACTAGTGATACACTTTACATTATACTTTATAGGTTTAATAGACTGTATATTATATTGGTATGTGTTAATAATTATTATTTATATAAGGTCCTTGTCCAGGAGACTAACTGCTCTCCCAAGTCCAAGTTTTCAGTGGTTCTGCATGGTTCCAAGTTTATTTTTCATTCATACCACGGTGAATGCAGGGTGGAGACAGGGTGCTGTGCTTCAGAGTTCAGGGACCCAAGCTACAATGTGTCCTCAGAATCTCCTCCAGACAGGTAGTGGGTAGGAGGTGGAGGTGCACATCGTATTGGCAGAACTCAGGGCCTGGCCACGCCTTATAGCCAGAGAAGCTGGAAAATGTGGCCTAACTATGTGGCCAGAAAGTAGAGAATACCAATATTCATGAACATGGGAAATCTCTACCACAAAAGTTACAGAAATTCATATGATTACAGGGCCCCCATTTAAGATCTGTATACCATTATATCTTTCCCCAGCTTTACTGAGGTGTAATAGGCATTGACGACACTAAGCATATTTACAGTGTACAATGTGATGAGCTTTGACACATGTATACATCTGTGACTACCTCACAGGATTTATTGAAAAATGAAGTATGCAATGTCACGTTACCTTATAAACCAAGAACATTATATAGATGTCAGCTATTACTGAACCTTGTCCTCTCAGCTATTTTACGGCATGTCAACCTTCAGATGTCATTTTCAATTGGAACTTCACTGGGTGATTTCCTGGTTTCACCGGCTTTCCAACCCCGGCTGGACCCCAAGGGCAGTTTTTTCTTCAGTACTCTACAATAGCCTTAGAGTTCTCTGACTCCCTGAACACCATACCCCTTGGACAGTTGTCAATCCTGGGTAACCCCTCCCAGATATTCAGTCTCTATGTTGCTAAGCTCTGCTAAAACCCAGTCTTCATTGGATCCTTTCACCTTGTCAAGAACCTAGCTCCTTCACCCCGCCTGCCCTTCCTCGCCGCCAGGCTGCTGGGTCTTGTCGGTCCCCCTCCTCCTCCGCCCTGCTGTCCTGACTCTCTCTCCCTCCTTCCTTCAGAGGATGTCCTCCTTCCAGCTCAACCTCAACCCACTCAAGGAGCCGCTCGGCTTCATCAAGGTCCTCGAGTGGATTGCTTCTATCTTTGCTTTTGCCACCTGTGGAGGTTTTAAGGGCAAAACAGAAATTCAAGTGACTTGTTCTAAACCTAATGAAACTAAAACGATCACAGCTGCTTTTGGCTATCCATTCAGGTTGAATGAAGCATCATTTCAGGGATCTCCACATGCAAACGTGTGTGATGTAAATTGGAATAATTACGTCCTTATTGGAGATTACTCTTCTTCTGCGCAGTTCTACGTTACGTTTGCAGTCTTTGTCTTCCTGTACTGCCTAGCTGCCCTTCTGCTCTATGTTGGTTATATGAATCTGTATCGGGATAGTCGAAAACTTCCCATGATTGACTTTGTTGTTACTCTTGTTGCCACTTTTCTGTGGTTGGTGAGCACTTCAGCCTGGGCTAAAGCTCTTACAGATATTAAAATAGCTACTGGTCACGGTATTGTCAAGGAACTTCAGCCTTGTAGCCCTCAAGAAGTGACGTGTTACTTTGTCTCTGTTACTAGTATGGGATCCCTAAATGTGTCTGTGATCTTTGGCTTTCTGAATATGATACTTTGGGGAGGAAATGCATGGTTTGTGTACAAGGAGACCAGTTTACACAGTCCGTCAAACACTTCTGCTTCCCACAGCCAAGGAGGTATTCCACCTCCTTCTGGAATATAATTAAAGGGAGAAATACACTGTATGAAACATATGTCTATACTTTGACCTGTTGCCAACATCTTGAGAAGCATTATTTGTTTCTAATAAAAGTAATGGCTTTTTCAATAAAAAAAAAAAAAGAACCTAGCTCCTTCAAGCACCATACTGTGTATTTGTCCCTCTCCTCTATCCCTAAATTTTCTCTTCCCTAAATATGCTTCATTAACTCTTACTCTTAACAAAGCAGTTTTTTTTTTATCTTTTCTCATGTTGATATTTTTTTTGAAAGACCTTCCTCGATTAGGTTTCAAGTTGTGGTGTAAATTTTGGCAGGCCTGACTCCATGGTAAACCAAGAATATTATTTATGAAGCTTGTAGGATCCACACCCATGGTCTGAAATCCTGGCCTTCCTCTAATTTAAATCTTTTTCCCCTTCCTCCATTCTGTCCTATATCTCCCTTGTAGATGCAGGATTTTTCAGGTAGCCACAGCTGTGTCCACAGAACCAACAGAAAGAACAGCTCTTGAGAAGTGGAACAGTGGCTGTTCTTCACCCAGCATCTTCCTCTCCTGTTTCATCTGTCTCCCCAGACTGTCCCTGTACATCTCATTTGATGGAAATGACAGGAAGTGTTGAGGGACTGGTGACATACTTGGTCAGTTTTGAAAGCATCATGATTAGGGTTCGTATTGAGATCTCTTGCTCTGTACCTTCTTTTCTTTCTTGGCAGTTCTTTCATCTATTTCCTTTCCTTTCCATCCCCACAGAGAGTTGGTTCTTGGAGAGCATCTCTAGTCAGTCTTCATACAGGGAAAGGGCCACCATTTTTAGTGCCGACTCTTGTAGTTAAAACTGGCGTCCAGTCTTTTGGGAAGGAAGGCATTCTTTCTTTCCAGTTTTATTGAAAAAGTAGCTGACATACATCACTGTATAAGTTTAAGGTGTACCACGTGATGATTTGATATACATATGTTGTGAAATGCTTACTACAGTAAGTTCAGCTCACATCCATCTTCTCATATAAAAGAAGAAAATTAAAAATTTTTCTCTTTGTGATGAGAACTCTTAGGATCTACTCTCTTACTAACTTTTCTGTATACCCTACAGTGGTGTTAACTATGCTTATCATGTTGTACATTATATCCCTAGTACTTAAATTTTTTTTTTATTTGAGAGAGAGAGAGAGTGAGCAAGGAACAGGGGCAGAGGGAGAGAAAGAGAGAACCTTAAACAGGCTCCATGCTCATCACAGAGCCAGATGCAGGGCTAGGTCCCACAATCCTGGGATCATGACTGAGCCGAAATCAAGACTTGGACACTTAACCAACTGAGCCACGCAGGTGCCTCAGTACCTACGGATTTTATAAGTGAGATGGCTTGGAAGTGGCAGCACATCTTTATTCAGAAGAGCAGCCCGGCTCCCTGTGGTGGCACACCAGTTGCTGTCAGGTGTTTCCAAACCTCCTGTTGTGTTTATTCTTCTCCAGTCTTCCCAGTGCTCTGTCTCTGCCTTCCATTTGCCAGGGCTTCCTTGCACCAGCCTCACGTGTAGAAGTAACAACGGCCCACACGCTTCAAATCCCTAAAAAAAGATACATTTATCTTTCCTTCCAGATGCCCAGGAAAGGCATTTTGGAGACAGTTAGCAAAGAACTGGAAGCAGAAAGAGAGGCAGATGTGAAAAGCTTGCTTAAGGGCTAGAATTCTAGTTGTGGGCCCTTGGAATAATAAAAGGTGGTTTTCACTGTTTTAAAGGTTCTAGAAACTTGGTCAAGATTCTTATCTTAGGGGTGCCTGGGTGGCTCAGTCGGTTAAGCGTCTGACTGTGGCTCAGGTCATGATATCACGGTTCGTGGGTTCGAGTCCCACATCGGGCTCTGTGCTGACAGCTAGGTCAGAGCCTGGAGCCTGTTTCAGATTCTATATCTCCCTCTCTCTGTCCCTCTTCTGCTCACGCTGTCTGTCTGTCTGTCTGTCTCTCTCTCAGAAAGATTCTTATCTTAATTAATTCACGGCTGGATGATAAACTTAATACGTTATCAAATTCCTTTGTTTTGAAAGCTGTATAATGTGCGGTGGGACTTGAATTGTGTCCTAATATTTAAGTAAATGACGAGAAGGAAAAGAATAGGGAGACAAAATGAGAGATCTTTCAACAAGTCTAATATTTCACTTCTCTTTTACAGGTACTTGTTAGATTCAGCACTTCCCACAGAGAGGATGTGGGGATTGGTTTGGCCAATTACTAATGGCCTGGAGGCTGCACGGTGACTTATGGGAGGCTGGTTTAATGCAATCTTACCTGACCTCTAATTATCAGGATTATCTTTAGCCTCATGGCCGTGCTTGAACTTTGACATCCATTCTGGCTGGAGCTTGCTTGAGAGTAATGTGCGCTGCAGGTGCTGCGTAGCACCTTTCTCACTGCAGAGATTGACTTTAGAACAGAGACTTTGACAAACTCAGACTTACCATCCCCTTCCAAGATGAAGACAGAGAGGCAGTTTCAGAGCAGGTGTGCAAACCAACATCTTTTCTTTAGATGAGAATCGGAAGATCACCTGGGATGACAAACTGATCCTCTGCTCTTTGAATGACATACTTTCTGACAACGATGAAAAATCTAACTATCGGATCTGTCCAAACCTAGAAAATAGAATCATGTTGATACTAAGTAGCACAATGCAATGGAAATTGAAGAGCTGAGTATCACCAGGGACCTGAGTCCCAGGTGAAGCTGAAGTTCTCACTCCTGTAGTCACTGCCTGAACACCTCTTATTTTGAAGGAAGCACATTCTAGAGAGGCAACCCATGCTGTGTTCATATACTGTTGTAGTGAACAAAGTATCCCTTTACCATCTACCCACAAGTCTTTTGGCAGCTAACTGCCTAATTTGAATACTGGCTTCTCTACTTACTAGCAATTTGACCTTGTATAATGCACTTAACTTTTCTGAGCTTCAGTGTTTATTTTATTTTATTTATTTTATTTTAAGAAGGGGGGCAGAGAATGACGGAGAATCTTAAGCAGGCTCCACAGCCAGCACAGAGCCCAACCTGGGGCTCAATCCCATGACCCTGGGATCATGATCTGAGCTAAAATCAAGAATCAGAACACTTAACTGACTGAGCCACCCAGGGGCCCCAAGCTTCAGTGTCTTTTTATGCAAAATTAAAAGCATCTAATAACAGTTTTAGAGGGTTATTATGAAGGTGAATGAAAACACTGTATTTAATATTCAAAGAAAAATGCTTGATATAGTAGATGTATTTAATAGATGTCAGATCTTCCAAAAAACCATAATAATTTTTATTAGAGTTCATATGATTGCCATGTCTTAGATCCATAAAAGAAAAATCTATCTGTTTTCATGTGATAACTTCCTCCCTTTGTGAAAAGAGCTAGGCTTAGTCCCAGAAATAGCTAACTTGTCAGCTTACGACAAAGAAGTTCAAGGCCCTTGGAGACATTAATAGTAGAATATTGTAGTATTGGAATAATAACAACTTTTTCCTGGAATTTCTGTCTCCAAAAGAGGGATTTAAAGAAGATTAAAAAATAACTTTAAGAAGAAAATGATTGGGTTTCTTTGCTGGATTCAAAGATAGTATTTGCTTATGGTACTTTTTTAGTCATTCAGTCAATCAGTCCATCAATCTGTCATTTTTGTGCTAGAATCATGGACATTTTAGAATGTTAATGTGACTTTTTTTCATAATCGTCCCAAACCTGCAAAGAAAGCTGGAAATTCTCATTTGCTGGTGGATGGCGTCAAGCTAAGCCTGTAGCTTTGAAACCAAGGAGGTCCTGGCCTCGAGAGTGCCGTCTGTAGTAGTAGCACAGGGAGAGCCATGACCTCCACCAACCTTTCCCCGCTCCCTGGTGGTGACATTGAGGGACTTCCTCAGGAGTTTGGTTTTGATAGACCCACAGGCTGGGAGAAATCCAGTCACTTCTCAGGGCTTATAACCTCATATACATGTTTATGACCCATTTTATTGCTGACTCTTGGTTTCAAATGCAGATCTGCTGTGTTGTTTGAGAATAAAAACTAGTCCCTTTCAGATAGCCATGGAGTTTGTTCCCTGGGAAGATGACAGGCCAAATCTTCATTAAACTGGTGAGGAATGAAGGAGGGAGGGGCTCCCTTTTTCTCTTCCCACAGTGGCTGGCAGCAGGTCGGCTAGGCTGTGTGGGCTCCTGGGAGCCTTTTGTTTGGTTTCTATGGCTCTAACCTCAATTAGCTGCTGGGCCTGCAGAGGAGGGAGGACACAGCTTTTTAGCTCACTTTGGTAGTTACAGCGGGGTCCTCTTTTTCTCCTCTGTCTGAGGCTGGAAATATGCATAGAGGCCAGCTTTGTGGAGTCATTTGAGTCTTCAAAGCTCAGTGCTTCTACCGGTGAGCGATGGCTTTGGGTATGGAAGAAAATGGCTGGGACTAACATCTTTGCTTGATCCTAGCTCTGTGAGCACATATCGCCGTTGTGTTGAACTGTGGTCATACAGGAAGTCTGTGCTGGACTCTAGAGCACAAGATCCAATCCTGGCTCTGCCCTTTCTGGGCAGTTTCCCAACCATTGAACAGGGTTAGGACTACCTAGTAGGGCCTCTGAGTGGAATAAATAAAAGAGTAGAAGTAGAGAACCTAGCACAGTGTCTGACACTTAATATGTCTGTCCCCACATTTCCGAGATGTGTGGGGCCTCTTCTCCTTTTTGCTTCCAGCAAGTATCCCAGGTATCTGTGGCAGCCACAGCAGAACAATAAAATTCTAAAGTCACTGAGAAGGCTTGTATTGGCTTTAGGCTGCAGGTGCTGTTCGCATGCCAGTGCACATGTGCGCACGTGTACACGCATGCTCACATCTATCTCCTGGGCACTGGTGCCTCATAGGTGGATCCCTTAGACCCTCTCTCAGGCTTTGCGCTATGGTCTCAGTGGTGCCATTTCAGGGTGAACCAATAGGAAATGATTAAGCAGACCCTAAAAGTGAGAGGGATGCTTAGTCACAGTCTCTTCTGTCTCCTTTGCCCTGACGTAACCACTGAGCAGCTTGTCCTGGCTCGTTTACCGGAAAGGTAGAAGTCAGGCACAGAGTTCCATCTGCAAGGTCAGCTAA